GAAATTAAATACAAAAGGATTAAAAATTTATCGACTACAGTGGAAGAAGCAAGGGTTCTTTTAGTTGCAGATAGGTCAGATGATAAGATATGGGATAAATATTCATCACTCGTTAAGTTGGTAAGGGTAGTAGCATACTGCAGGCGTGTGTTACAATGGAAAATACCTAAAACTGAAAGTAAAATAGGTTCATATTTAAATTCGAAAGAATTAGAGTTAGCGTTAGAGTCTTGTATAAGAGAGTGTCAACGTCATCATTTACAGGATGAAATATATAGACTACAAACTAAAAATTATAACAAAAAGGGTACGTTTAATTCATTGAATCCTTACCTGGATAGTTCTAATATCTTGAGGGTGGGCGGTAGACTGGAGCTCTCAGAGTTGACTATGAACCAAAAACATCCCATACTGCTTCCAAATAAATCACATTTTACCGATCGGGTGGTACTAAACGCACATTACCAAACACTGCACGGAGGGGCACAGCTCATGTTAAGCTATTTGGGTAGGAAATATTACATAGTGGGCGTAACAAGGTTAGTGAAGGCCTGTGTGCGAAAATGTGTAATCTGTTGTCGGTACAATGCTTCATCACACCAGCAGTTGATGGGTCAGCAGCCGTCTTCGCGCGTTACTCCAAGTCGTCCCTTCTACAATAGTGGGGTAGATTATGCGGGGCCTATAAATTTGCGAACATCAAAGGGTCGAGGTCAACGATCCAGTAAGGGATATATTTGTTTGTTCGTATGTATGGCAACGAAGGCCATACATTTAGAGGTTGTGAGTGATTTGAGTACACAAGGATTTTTGGCTGCATTCAAAAGATTTATAGCACGGAGGGGTCGTTGTAAGGATATTTGGAGTGATAACGGAACAAATTTTCAAGGGGCTTCCCGAGAATTACAATTATTACTTCGTGCAGAGAACTCTAATTTGTCCAATGACATTGCTGAAGCATTAGTTAATGAAGGAACTACATGGCATTTTATTCCGCCACACGCGCCGAACTTTGGAGGTCTCTGGGAGGCGGTCATTAAATCATGCAAGCACCATTTAAATAAAATTATCGGTAATTCTACCTTAACCTATGAAGAAATGGCAACCCTTCTAAGCCAAATAGAAACGTGTTTAAATTCACGTCCACTATGTCGAGTTACGGATGCAAGTACGATGACTGCATTAACACCAGCACATTTTTTAATTGGTGAACCAATAGTTAATGCACCCGATTTATAACTATGAGGATGCAAATGTCTCAAGATTAAACAGATGGCAGTTAGTGCAAAGGATGATGCAGACATTTTGGCGGCGTTGGTCCAATGAATATTTAAATACACTCTTACAACGTTATAAGTGGACAAAGCGAATCCCTGAACCTAACGTCGGCGATGTTGTATTGATCAAGGAAGACAATTTGCCTCCTTGTAAATGGCTGCTTGGTAGAGTGACTGAGAAACATCCTGGTCAGGATAATATTACGCGTGTAGTCACATTACGTACGAACAACTCTACATTAAAAAGACCTACTTCCAAAATATGTGTTTTACCCATTAATTAAAGGTCAATAAATTGTGATTGTAAGTTATTATAGATACTGGTATAAGAAGGTAGTTATTTTTTAATATTTTGTAAGTTCAACTTTTGTTTTTTGGAAGTTGTATTGTTATTCATTTGTTAAACATAAGGGTTTTTAGTTTGTTGAGTTGCGATTATCTTAGTTAAGAACATACCGTGGCCAGCCACTATATGTCCTTGGTGGGCGGAATGTTCAACCTTAAACAATGTTTATTTTGGTTTTGATAGTATTTAGTACCATTTGGTTACGAAAGATGGTGCTAATAAAATGTGTCAAATGTTCAGGTATATATTCTAAATCGCGCTGTCGAAAATATTTTATGTATATACTTATAATAGATAAATAAGGTTCAAAATTGCGAATAAATTGGGCCACAGCGATCTGTGGAAACAGGGTGCCAGTTTTTTTTGATTTAAGAAACCCCCTGTCAATTAACCCCCAGAAACCAACCCTCAATTAGTACAGGGTTGAACAGATGTTATTAAGTGTTTTAAATCTCTTAAACAAAAAAATACAAGTGATTTATGGGGTGTTTCTACTAAAGTGACTAAAAGTATAATACCCGTTATTGCTCCTTATCTAGTTGATATATTTAATAACTGTATTGATCAAGGTGTATTTCCGGATTTAATGAAATACAGTAAAGTTATACCTCTTTTTAAATCAGGAAATAGAAATGACCCTGGAAACTATAGGCCTATATCAATATTACCAGTTCTTAGTAAAATATTTGAAAGAATTATTCTGGAACAATTGATGCCTCATTTCAACATTAATAAACTTTTGCATAGGAAACAATTTGGTTTTACTAGAGGTAGATCTACTACTGATGCGGGTGTTGCACTTGTAAGGTGTATATTGGAGGCTTGGGAGAGGTCGCAGAATGTCCTTGGAGTGTTCTGCGACTTATCCAAAGCTTTTGATTGCGTTGATCATCACACGCTGTTATTGAAATTGAGTCATTATGGAGTCAAAGGTACTGCATATAAATTGATACAGTCGTACCTCAGTTCCAGAATACAAACTGTAGAGGTAAATGGTGTTAGATCATCTGGATCTCATGTGGAAATGGGCGTTCCCCAGGGTTCAATTTTAGGACCCTTCCTGTTTCTAGTATATGTAAATGATTTGCCATTTTTTGTGGAAAATTTGTGTGAGATTGTATTATTTGCTGATGACACATCTTTATTATTTAACGTTGACAGGCGCAAAAACAATTATGACGATGTGAATAATGCTCTCTCGCAAGTTCTGCAATGGTTTAATGTCAATAATTTAAAGCTAAATGCTAATAAAACCAAGTGTATTCAATTTTCCTTACCTAATGTAAAAGTTGAGCATATTGGAATTAAATTAAATAATGAAAAATTAGATTTAGTAGACTCGACTACATTCTTGGGTATAACGATAGACTCAAAACTGCAATGGAGTCATCACATTACGCTTTTGGCTGGTAAACTTAGTTCAGCAGCTTATGCCATAAGAAAGATAAGACAACTTACTGATATAGATACTCCCAGGACTGTATATTTTAGTTACTTTCATAGTATCTTATCATACGGCATTTTGCTCTGGGGAACAGCAGCTGATATTGAAAGTATATTCATTTTACAAAAAAGAGCTGTGAGATCTATTTATCAATTGAGTAGCCGAACATCTCTTAGAGAAAAATTTAAAGAAATTGGCATTTTGACTGTTGCTTCTCAATTCATTTACAATTGCACACTCCTCATTAAAAATAATATCAATTTGTATACCAAACACAGTAACGTACACAATTTTCATACTAGGAATAGAAACAAGCTTGCATTGCCAGCCTACAGGTTACAGAAGCTTTACCGATCTTTTATAGGTCAAGGTATACATTTTTACAATAAAATTCCTGATGCTGTTCTTGAGTTACCCATAAATGAGTTCAAATGTCACATTAAAAGTTGTTTACTTAAGAAAGAAAAATTATACTATTAAAGAATACTTGAATGACAAAACTGCATGGCTGTAACTACAAAATTGTTTTGTATTTGTTTGCAATGTCACAAATAAATTATCTTAACTCTAAGTAAATATTTTGCAGTTTGGTTTGAGTGGTTATGGGTAGTCATGCTCTCTTAAAAATCTCTTCGGCGGTGTCGTGTGAGGCGGGTCGTTGCGTTCCCTAAAATATGGTTGAGCGAAGCGATGGCTGGTTCATGCGTCATGCTCGTGAACGGGTGCTGCCAGCGGAGATGAGTCTGCTCTATACTACTTTATTATTGTAATGATAATTATTATTACATTTTTGTATTTTACATTACACAACTTGTATTTATACTGTATGACACAGCAATCAAAATGTAAGTGAACATTTATTATTTATCTGATAAAGATTTAATGGCGGTGTGGATTCTGGTATGGTTTTCTAGACCTGAACTTGGTTTTGCAGCGGTGTATCCTTGTCATTCTTTATACAGACTGAAAAGGGGGGACTGATGTTGGACTTGGTTTTGGGTTGGGAGAGTAGTGCCAGAATCGACAACAGTGTTTGGGTAATCACATGCATGTGTTCTGCCGTTATGTTTATAATTTGTTATAATAATGTACTCTGGTACTTATATATTTTTTTTTCTATCTTTGTAACATAGTATCCATGTGTGGTTATGAGTAGTCATGCTCTCTTAAAAATCTCTTCGGTGGTGTCGTGTGAGGCGGGTCGTTGCGTTCCCTAAAAAATGGTTGAGCGAAGCGATGGCTGGTTCATGCGTCATGCTCGTGAACGGGTGCTGCCAGCGGAGATGAGTCTGCTCTTGCTTCATTGGATACTATTAACCGTTGTACTAAACTTTAATCATGCATTTTTTTTTTGCCTAAACAGCAGGACACGGCATTCCTAAACTTTGTTAAACTAGTTTTTTATATAGTCATAATTTTTATTATATTAGCATTTGTAATGGAAAGTGACTTTATGAGTTACCTCATATTGAAGTCATTTTTCAATTTGACGACTCTGAGTTTCTTGCCGGTTCTTCTCAGTACAAGGTCTCCCGCCGTAGATTTGCGAACCGATGGCGTAGCTTTTCGACATTCACAAGTGCTTGTAACAGCCTAGACTGAATAAACGATATTGAATTTTGATTTTTTAAATAATATGAGTTTTTTGATATTGCTCAGTGAGTGACCGACCGAGTAGCGATACAAGTATATACTTCACGATACTACTTGTTCCTCAGTTCTAAAGTATCGATGCCAAAAGTACTTGGTATCGAAAGAAAAGTATCGAGTAGTCACTTGTATTTACTCGTATCGTTTCATCCCTACCCATCAGTGGGAACATTAATTAGCTGATGATGATTAAATAACAGACCACAATCTACTGTAATGTACGCAACCATTGCCTCAAATTCGATTTAATGTCTCTGTACAGTTGGCCTGCAATAAAGATTATCTACCCATCCTCCGGTCCATCCCCACTCCCTCCCAAGGCTTTGGTGGCCGCAGCTAGTCTCGCTTTCGCTCGTTTATACTGCCTAAGTACAGCTTCCGCCCCACGCAGTAAAGCTGATGCTGAAGTGCTTGGGGCTACTGATTCTTTGGTAGTTTCCGAGTGTCCCGGTATGGGAGAGTGAGATACAACACTCCAACGGATTTGTATACTGCCCGTAGTTGTGTAGACGAAGTTTGCGTCCTAAAAGAAATAAATAAATGAATATTTCCAACATTCACACCAATTAGCCTAGCCCCAAAGTGAGCACAGCAGGCTTGTGTTACGGGATACTAGGGTACTGGATAGAATACATATATATAAGTATATTTATATAGAAATACATATTAAACATCCATGAGTAGAGTACAAAAGCGAACCTGGGACATCTCGAGTAGGGACACCTGGAAACCTGGCGTACAAACCACTCGGCCACGGAGGTCGTCTAAAAACATTTTCATTGATGAATAAATAGATAAAGATAGGATAGAACAAAGTGGTATCCCGTGGTCCAATCGATGAGAATACGAGTCCTTGATCATATATCTTACAGTTACACCAACAAAACAAATAAGCAATAAAGTTTAGTAATAATTTTGATTTTTAAGCATGTAACTGCTTGATGTTTAAATCTTAAGAAAATATTACTAGTAAAATTCCACGCGGACCAGGCAGCAGACGGGACTCGAACCCGCACCCTTCGCTATCAATGCACTGACCAATTATGTTACCGCGGCCCTGACGGCCGGTAACCCAGAAGGTAACCCAGGTAAGGTAGGTGAAAAATTGTATGTTTGCGAGTTTGTTTGTTTGTTACTCAATCACGCAAAAACTACTAAACGGATTTGGATTAAATTTGGTACATATATGGTTTATGATATGGATTGAGATATAAGATACTTCTTTCATTCATTCTTCCTTCTTTTCGATACGGATACATTTTAGGTGGGATTTAAAAAATCATAAATAAGCATAGTTTTACAAAAGTATGAAATACACAATAACAAGAATCAGGTACGAAGATTCGGGATGCGAAACCAGGACTTTACAGTAGGCGATGCAATTAAAATAACTTAGAAGATTTAAGGCCATCTATATCACTATTAACGTTTTCTTCTAAAGAATTTTCAAAAAGTACTTAATATGTTTTTATCCAATTGAACGGCTATTACTCATAAACTAAAAAATCTTTTAACCGTTATAGTTTTCCTTAAAGTACATAAAAAGCTATTATTATGAATTTTTCAAGTCAATAGTTTAGCTTTTAGAGAAGGGGGGCGCCCTACTCGATATTTCGATTCAATATTTCGCAAACGGATCCCTAATTCGACAAATAGTCTTAGTAATTTTAAATGGACCTATTCAATGATATCCCACACGATGGGGTAGATTATAAAAAAAAAATCATACTCAAGTGACATGTAGGGGAGCTGCCCTAAAAAAATATTTTATTCTATCACTTTGTCGGCGTGGTCGATATACATATCCCCACAAAATTACAGCTTTCTAGTGCTAATAGTCTCCAAGCAAAACCGGGGACGGACGGACGGACATGACGAAACTATAAGGGTTTCTTGGCAGGAGTACGAAACCCAAAAAAAGAGCGCGAGGCATTTGAAACTTTCGGCGGTCGGAAATAACAATATGAAATCTTAGGCGATAGCGATAGCCATAGAAATTCTGTTAGGTGATTGGTCCCCTGGCCAACTACCATCAGCTTCTCTAGGCTATCAAGGTTTCTGCGAGCGTGTAACGTGGTGTATCTGAGGGGTATTAAATATCGTTGACTGTATAGCTATTGTTGCCAAATAACATCTACCCGCAATTACTTCAGTTACTCCGTGATCATGGTGCGCTTACAACAGTGCCGCAATATCGGAGACTCATAAAAAACAAGGTATATGGTAACAATCCCGTTAATACCTATAATGTTAGTAACCATGAAGGTTTAAAACAATATATCGTTGACTTGTTACATAAAAAAACAATACCTGTAAATGTGGATTAGCCAGCACATCCAAGTCCTTGATCAAATGACATCCGCCGACGAAGAACCGCCTGCTCTCCGCTTCCGCCGTATCGCTCTCTTCGGGGCGAGAGCAGGACAGCATCTTGGTATAAGTGCCCGGTTCTAACGTTAGAGGGAGATAGCTGTAGCCCTCAGTGCGGTGGCGGCCCCACCAGTCCGTTGAAATCACTTCGAAGAATAACTGGATGGTCGGGGGATCTGCATAGTTATTTTTTTTCGCTTTTAGTTGTGATTCTTCCCAACTTCGTTTAGTTATTATGGATTGTAATTATTACACACTAGCGGCCGCCCGCGACTTCGTACGCGTGAAGTTAGTTAGAAATAAAGGTTCACTGCTCGTTCCCCGTAGGTGATAGCGGGATAATATGTAGACTATATGTTGAACTTTTTGATAATATTCGTTCCAAATTTGCAGTAAATCCATGCAGTACTTTTTGACTTTATCCCGGACATACATACATACAAACAGACAAAAATTCTAATAACTATATTTTTGGCTTCGGTATCGATTGTAGATCATACCCCAAGTATTCTTTTAAAAAAATATTCAATGTACAGTTTTGACTTTCCTATCATTTTATTATATGTATAGATAGAGCATTATGGTAAAAACATTAAAAAAAGACGGCCAAGTACGAGTCGGACTCGCGCAGCAATGGTTTCGTAGCATTATCTATACAAGATTAGACACTAGAATTATAATATCGAGCGAAAGTCCGCAAAACTATCAAATCTGTTGTATCACACTAATATTATAAAGGCGAAAGTTTCTGAGTGTGTTAGTGTGTATGTTTGTTACTTTTTAACGTCTAAACGGCTGGGGCGATTTTAATAAAATTTGGTATGGAGTTAGCTCACACCCTGAAAATATCCCTAATAAACCACGGGTAACACCGCGGGGCACAGCTAGTATGGGAATAAAAATTAATTTAATTGTTTATTTTTGAGGTACAACTAAATATTCTGTGAATTTTTCAAGCGTCTAAGTACTTGTTACAATTATCAACATGAAAAAAACTGCAAAAAGAATCTCAGTACCTACGTTTGTTGTATGGGAGACCCTCTTAAATATTTATTTTATAAATATTTATAAAAAAAAAATTAAGAGGGTCTCCCATACAACAAACGTAATGAGATTCTTTTTTTTGCAGTTTTTTTTTCATGTTGATAATTGTAACAAGTACTTAAAGCGTCTAAGTACTTGTTACAATTATCAAACATTTGTTGTATGGGAGACCCTCTTAAATATTTATTTTATTCCGTTTTTAGTGTTTGTTGTTGTATTATGACGACCTCTGTGGTCGAGTGGTTTGTACGCCGGGTTTCATGGTGTCGCCGACTCGAGAGGTCCCGGGTTCGAATCCCGGTGGGGGTAGATGTTTGTGTGATGAATACGAGCATTTGTACTCCAGTCATGGATGTTTCATATGTATTTCTAAATAAAAATATACTTATATATGTACAGTATATGTATTCTATCCGTTACCCTAGTATCCCATAACACAAGCCTTACAGTGCTTACTTTGGGGCTAGGCTAATTGGTGTGAGTGTTAGATATATTTATTTATTTATTTATTTATTTATTAGCGTCAACAGAAATAATACATCATCTGTGAAAATTTCAACTGTCTAGCCATCACGGTTCTTAAGATACAGCTTGGTGACGGACAGACAGACAGACAAGTAAGACTCCACTTCTTAATGATAGGGTACCGTTTATCCCGGAAAAAATATTGGCCATAAATCTTCCAATGAAATATCCGAACGCTCAATAAAAAGTCTTTCGAAGGTAGCTCGACAAAGTAAATAAAAAAAAAACATTATTCTGACGATGCAGACCCGAAAAGGTTGCGAAACGTCAATAAATAAATAAAGTTCGTGCATTAATCCGTTAAAACTAGTTTTATTTAATAATTATAATACAAACCCGAAGCATCAATGGTTTCCAAAGCCAGCGTGATTAAGTGTCCGAAGTTCCAATCGTCTCTATCATCTGTCCTGAATGACTTGGAGACGTGCGTCCGTCCATGTAAACCATCACTGGATTGGACTCCTTCTGGTAACTAAGGAAAATGATACTTATGGTACGATTACATTTGGTCTTTAGCCCGAATACTAGTGCCAATGGAATTCGGGTAAACGACGCAGTGTAAATGAACTGAGTCGAGTACGCCCGTATTCGGGTAGTTCTAAATAATATTATAAAGGCGAAAGTTTGTGAGTGTGTTAGTGTGTATGTTTGTTGCTTTTAACGTCTAAACGGCTGGAGCGATTTTAATAAAATTTGGTATGGAGTTAGCTCACACCCTGAAAATATCCCTAATAAACCACGGGTAACACCGCGGGGCACATATAGTATGGGTATAAAATTTAATTTAATTGTTTATTTTTAAGGTCAATATACAATTAAATATTCAGTGATTTTTTCAAGCGTCTAATTGTTGCAATTATCAACATAGAGCAAAAAACTGCAAAAAAAATCTCAGTACGTTTGTTGCATGGGAGTCCCTGTTAAATATTTATTTTATTCCGTTTTTAAAGTTTGTTGTTATATTAGCTTCAACAGAAATAATATAATAATAATAATAATAATTGAAAGAATTGTCTTTTGTCAGGAGCCAATAAGGTGCGCGCCTTCAATGCCTGGGTGATGCCCCTATTCACATACTCCTTTGGCATACTGAGATGGACTCAGACTGAGTTAGACACTCTGGATAGGAAGGTCCGTCAACTGCTCACAATGCACCGTATGCTTCATCCGCGCTCATCTGTTATGAGACTGTATATCCCACGTAAGTGTGGAGGTCGTGGCTTATTAAATGCCAAGAATCTCCACAACCGAGAGGTGTGCAGTCTCAGGGATTACTTCCTTAACAGTGAGGGTGGGTTGCATCGTGACATTGTAGCAGTTGACAAAAACCTAACGCCGCTCTCCTTGGCCAAAGAGAACTGGCGCAAGCCGAGGGTGCTAAGCACCCAGGATCGCAAGGAAGTATGGAAAAGCAAGGAGCTCCACGGACGGTTCTATCGGGCCCTAACAGGGCCTGATGTGGACCAGCTCGCCTCCGTGAACTGGCTACGATTCGGTGATCTCTTTGGGGAAACCGAAGGGTTTGTCTGTGCAATTGCTGACGAAGTCATGATGACGAACAACTATCGGAGATATATCCTGAGAGACGGAACGGCCGACATTTGTCGAGCATGTCGTCGGCCTGGTGAATCCCTCAGACATATCGTCTCCGGTTGTTCTCATCTGGCCAACGGTGAGTATTTGCACAGACATAATCTCGTAGCCAGAATTATTCACCAGCAACTTGCTGTTCAATACAACCTTGTAGAATCCGAGGTGCCGTACTATAAGTACACACCGGCGCCAGTTCTTGAAAATGGTCATGCAACGCTCTATTGGGATCGACCTGTCATTACGGACAGGACTATTCTTGCCAATAGGCCTGATATCGTATTGACGGATCGATTGAAACGCCAGTCAGTGCTCATCGATATCACCATCCCGCATGACGAGAACCTCGTGAAGGCCGAGAAGGACAAGCTCAGCAAGTACCTGGACTTGGCCCACGAGGTAACCGCTTTGTGGGATGTGGATTCGACGATCATTGTCCCTATAGTCGTTAGCGTAAACGGTCTCATAGCGAAGAGTCTCGATCAACATCTAAAGAGCCTCTCGCTAGATGGTTGGGTCAAGGGGCAGATGCAAAAGGCAGTACTCCTGGAAACGGCGCGCATCGTCAGGCGGTTTCTTTCTCTGCGGCCCTAACCACCGGTAGCTTGGGCCTCGCTCCGCTGCTGGTGGCCTTCTAGGTTAGGTTTTTTATACTATATTTATTTTTGTATTTACGTTGTTGTATTTTACTTTTATATCTATTTTATAAAAAACCTAACTTGTGAAATGAAATAAATGAGAGTATAATAATAATAATAATAATGTCTTAAAATAAACTAAACTAATAAACTATGAATTCGGGTAAACGACACAGTGTAAATGAACTGAGTCGAGTACGCCCGTATTCGGGTAGTTCTGTTTTGTTTACCCGACATCGTCTTGCAGCCCGTATTCCAGTGCAAATATTGCTTCGGATGCCCGAATTCAAGTAATGTCTTTCGTGCACCCGAGTACGAGCTAACGACCAAATGTAATTGAGCCATTACTCAGAAAGTTAGTTATAAATCGTGCACATTAATGATTGCTTAAAATAAAATAGCATTTTGGTATAATATATCATTACAACAGTGTCGAGGAGCTCTATAGCGCAAGTGGTTAGCGCATTCGGCTGCGATCGTTGAAGTTAAGCAACTTTCGCAATGGTCGGTCATTGGATGGGTGACAAAAAAACTTATTATCTAAGGCCCTTCGTGCTTCGGAAGGCACGTCAATCCACTATGTCACCACCAATCCGCAATGGACCCGCGTGGTGGATCACGGCCCAGTCTGCATATTCCATCCATAGGGAAGGCGTGTGCCACATCAGTGGAGAAATTAATAAGCTGATTATGATGACGATATTACCGTAGATAGACCGTTTATACGGGAACCGATGTCGCCGGCTCGCCCCCACTACACTTCCACCTAATAGATAATAGCCAATCAAACGACGCGACATCAAATAATGGACCCAATCAGCGCTCAAAGCCGAGAGCAACGACGCAATCAGAACCAAGATTTGCTCAAATTATGAGCATTTGCTCACACATAACTGTGACGCGCCTGCCCCGCCCACAAGGCTCTTCTAACCTCTATCTGTGTTCTGCGATCCTAACAGCGACTTTAGCGGCGCCGATTTAAAATCCCCGAGACGGTAGATAAATGTTTGTGTGATGAACTTGAACACGTTAAAGAATTAAGATGTGAAAGAGTTAAGAACCGTGCAATATGGTGGTAGGTTCTCTAAATCTTTCTTCTTTATCAACTTTTTTTTAAATTAAATGAAATTAAATAATGCTTTCTTTAAATTGACTTATTGATAACTCTTTTGAATCGTCCAATATTTTTTCCTACGATCCATTCAGTACCCTTAGTACGAGTTTTACAAATAACGAAAACTATGATAGTTTTCGTGAGCTCGCACTCGTACTAAGGGTACTGATTTTATTGTTTTCGTTTCAATACAAATAAACAGTGTTTAAATTCTATCAGTAAATCATTTGCGTCTTCTTAAATTTCAAGTATATTTGGTTAGTTTTCACCAAAATGGACATAGAAACATAATTTACAATTACGAAAACTATGATAGTTCTCGTTCTAAGATTTCTTTTATGGAGCAGGACAACTAGTGGCGGATTTACCCTAAGGCCCAGTAGGCCTGGGCTAGGGCGGCCCCAATTGACACCCTAATCTTACAAAATTAAGCGCGTCAGAAATCAAAAAAAAGCATTGCAAATAATTTAATTTATTCTGACTTTGAAGACGATTTTTCAGAAAATTTCTCCATTTTTAGTGCTCACTGCACTATAAAAAATTAAGATCGGAACAGTTCTGAAAATTAATTGAAATGGTTACGAACTGAAGGTCTTCAAATCATTTACCCAAACGTGGATATTGCTCTTCGTATGTGTGTGTGTGTACTCCCGCCAGTAACTGTTCTGGAGAACGATCGTTTTCTTGTTGACGACGAGTAAAAAAATATTTACGACAACAATGACGGACCAAAGTTTAAACGATCTCGCTTTGCTTAACATAAAAGCTGATTTTTTAATGAAATTGGGTTGCAAAGATTTAATTCATGATTTTACTGCACTAAAGTGCAGGCGAGTTTTGTAACACATTGTATACCATTTACTATATATCTTGTACTCTTAGCCTGTAGTTATCTAAATATATAAAACCGAAAACAATTTAAATGTTCTATTTAAATGTCCAATTATTCCTGAAACCTCATAAAATATTGGAAATTAGCAGCTATTATTATTATTATTTATTCTAGTAAACTTTAGTTACTTTTACTGATACTACATACCCGCACTTGCGATAATATGTAGCTCCGTACAAATTAATTGTGTTTAATTAGATATTCAAATATTTAACTCGCAATTAGGTGTTAAAAGTTGATAACACTCGTGTTTATGTAATCATAACCAAGTATGCCAAGTTGGCAGAGTATGTAAGAGCAAATAACTAGTTGTAACAACTTATGTAGCTATTTATTACGTAACCCATATGAGAACACTACGTTACAGTACCCAATAGTTTGAATTTTGGCGCGAAGGCGCATTGTAAGTTTCAGAACACTACGTTACAGGTGGGCAACCATTATCACTTAAGGATATGAAAAATAGATAGTAGCCGATTCTCAGACCCACGGAATATGCATATAATATAAAGTTCATAAAAATCGGTCAGGCAGTTTCTTAGGAGTATACACACTAGCTGTGCCCCGCGGTGTTACCCATGGTTTATTAGGGGTATTTTCCCGTAGAAAAACGTAGCCTCTGTGTAAATCCAGGTATCAGCTAACTCCATACCACATTTTATTAAAATCGCGCCAGCCGTTTAGACGTGAAGAAGTAACAAACATACACACTAACAAACTTTCGCCTTTATAATATTAGTGTGTGTACAATATATATACATGTATGTACATATACATATTTCATTTACTAGCTATAAGAGAAAGAGAGAAAGGAAATGTGCGCGCGCACTGCTTTCTCTTGCTTATATCCCCCACTCAACTCCCGTTCGCATCGCACGAACACATTTTTCGTAACGTGTAACTCATTCGCCAGCTTACCCCCCAAGAAAAGCGTGTATAAAGAAGTTTCACTTAAAAAAGTGATTACTTAAACTAATCTAAGCGGAGGGTTGAGGATGGATCTGGGGACACCCTTCTGGTACCTGGGCGGACCGTGGCGTCTATGTCCTTCACGGCGAAGGGTAGCCAGACAGACTGGCGCCGTAACGCGTCACGTAACGAAGCGGTCTACCCTCCCATAAGAAATTATCACTTCAATAAAATAAAATAAATGCAGTGATGTCGATTCTGGCATGATTCTCTAAAGATAAACTTAAATTTGACAACAATGGTGTCAATTCTGGCATGATTCTCTAAATCTAAACTTAAATTTGACAACATTGTATCCTTGTCTTTCTCTTTACCGAATGAAAAGGAGAGACTGATGTTAAATTTAGTTTTAGGTTTAGAGAATCACGCCAGAATCGATACCAGTGCATCCTTTTCATTCTCTATACAGAATATAAAGGAGAGACTGATGTTAAATTTAGTTTTAAGTTCAGAGAATCACGCCAGAATCGGCACCAGTCACGCACATTTTTGCGCGTAACATGAGCCCGTTTCCTTTTCGTGGTTTATTTGGATTGCTCTATCTAGGCGTGTATCTTTATAATCAAAGGAACCTACCTACCTTGATATTAAACTCAATATATAAATTGTCGATTTCAAAATCACTAGCGGTGAGTATTTCTAAGGCAACATAGTGCAGTTTTTTCCCCAAAGGTGGAGCGGAGAAGTTGACCAGATGTTTATGCATCTTTTCCCATTTCTTCCTTAATTTTTCAAGCTGAAATTAATGTTAGTTTTATTTTTATTGAACTACTCATCAAGAAATAAGATTGGACTCAAGGCAGGCTCGTCTTTTGTTCGTTGAGCGACTGAATAAAATAATCTGTTTTCATTATATTTTTTCTATCTTAAGAAAATTTAAAAATATTGGACCTCACCTCATTGGCTCGCCTTTCGTTCGTTGAGTGACTGAATAAAAAAATCTGTTTTTATTATATTTTCTTCATCTTAAGAAAATTAAAAAAAAACTACTTATCCAAGGCTTTTAGCAGAGTCCTTTTTGCTCGATAGATTTTCTCAAGATATTTATAATATCTGTATTAGTACGAATAAAAGCACAATAGAAATTTTACGTATGCCCGCGACTTCATCTGTTAAATACAGTAATTGGTTTCCGAAACAAAATTTCCATCCCCTAAATCACCCCCTCTAAGTTATGTGTTCACTCCATAAAGTGGCCTATGCCCTTCCCCAAAATCCCTTTTATCTGTATACCAAAATTACAAAAAATCAATTCAGCAGTTAAGGCTTAAACAGTGCTGGATTTAAGGCAGGGCAGACGGACCTGGGGCCCAGTGACCTTCACAAGAGAGATTTCACAAGACTCTCAGATAGTGATAAAAACCAAATTTCGACAAGTTAAAACAACCACCAACCAAACCAAACCAAGGGTGCAAATCGTAAATGACCTCAGGGACCAGATTACATAATACACCCTCTTTAAGGGCCCCCACTTCATTGAGGAGCTCGATGGCGCAAGTAGTAAGCGCGTTCGGCTGCGATCGTTGAAGCTAAGCAACTTTCGCAGTGGTCGGTCATTGGATGGGTGATCAAAAAACTTCTATCCCTAATTCCACCGTGCTTCGGAAGGCACGTTAAGCTATTGGTCCCGGTTGCATCTGCAGTCGTTAGCACCCGCCAATCCGCACTGGGCCCGCGTGGTGGGCCATGGCCCAATCTCCCTATTCCATCAATAGGGAAGGCCTGTGCAGTGGGGACATTAATAGGCTGATGATGATGATGACTTCTTTATTGCCCCAGGGTTTCCACACCTCTTAATCCGTACCAAATTACTATTGCATCTATCTGTCTCATAATAAGTCATAGATCATCTACAAGTTACGTACTAGTATAGACAATTCTTCAGCATTTTCTCCATCACCATGAAGTTGTAGATCAACAGCATACACATGTTCCAATTGCAATCCTGTTCTTGTCTCCACCGAGTATGGGTTCATCTCCAAGTTGTTACTATCAGGTGACACAAGGAGATAGTTATTCTTCACATTGTGGTAAAGCGACAGAAGTATGGCCTCCTGCTTCAATATTAAGTTGGAGTCTCTGAAATATCGCAGTTAATCACATATGAGAAATTTATTCAGTTTAGGATTGTTACAAGCACTCATGAATGTCTAGAAGCGACGTCATTGGCTCTTAAATCTATTACGGGAGACCTTGTACTGCGAAGAACCTGCAAGAAACTCAGCAAGGGTTGTTTTTTCTACCCAGAGGCGGCGTAAGGCGTGGGCGATGTGGGCCACCGCCTACGGCCTCGCGGTACAAGGGGCCTCGCGCCTCAAAAAATTGTATGCATTGCTTAGAAGCGAATTTTTTTTTTGTTATTTTATAAAATCCGTCTTCAGATCGCCACAGAACAGGGTCTCGCGAAATCTGTCTTGCCCACATCAAATTTAGGTCTTGCCCCGCCACTTTTTCTACCTGTATTATAATTTGGAGTTATCAACTTAAAAAATTACTTCAGAGATGATTTATGACATGAAATCACCTTTCATTACATAATGTGAAATATAGATTAATTGTTCACCTGCATTTTGATAGCAATATCATATGGTATAGATACAAATAGTGTTATTTAAATTAAGTATAACTAGATAACATACTCAATAGCAAAGTAGTTAGAGCAGAAGTAGACTCATCTCCGCTGACAGCCCATTCACAACAAGCATAAAGACGCTTCAAAGAAATAACTAGACTGATAATTGTCAATTATAACACTTACTCATCATATTGAGAATTATCAAGCACTATGTGCATTGCTCTCCATTTCCCATCTGCTATATTATCAATATTCTCTTCACTCCTAAACAGATGACCCATAGATCCATTGTCAGTATTCAACACCTCTCCGATTTTATCATTTAAATTCAACCTACCAAAGCAAGAGTTAAGTTCCAGAATGTTACTTTTGAAGCACACACTGTCCGATGGCAGTGAGAGGTAACAATCCTCATGAATATACGAGAATATTTTTGATGGTTCATAGTCTGTAGTATTCAACATGTTGTGATAAGTTAACTGAACATCGGTGGTGCAATTATGAACATTGGAGTATCGCTGCAATTCCCACAAGCTAAAAACTTTCTCTTGCCAAGCAAATGTGTACTCTCTAGCTGCCTCAAAAGATTCTATATTGGCGCTTGGAGCCTCATTTGTGTAATCTTCAAATTTTGGGAGAGTCATTATGCTTTCCTTTGGTTTCAACTTCACACTAAAAAAATATATTACAGATTAAAACTTAGGTACTTATTGTGGTTTGAAATATAGCATGTTGGTCTTAAGAATCTTCTTTAAAGTCCATAAAAGCTAAAATATTTACTTGACTTGTATGTCTTCAATAGCATCCTTCAACCAGTGAACTCCAGTAATCTTGTTTGTACGTTGAAATTCATACATATTCTTTAACCTTACCTATTAACTTTTCCACTTATCTCAAAAATTGCTATAATGAAGTTGTATTTCTAGTAAAAAGTCAATTTTATAAGAAATAATCTTTTTAATGGATCTGTTTTTGTTTAGTTTGATTTGCTTGCAATATGGTGAATAAGTGGGAGTAGAGTAAGGGAATAAGTTAAAATTAAATATTCAACACTCTTTGATCACCTGTATGATATGATTTGATTAAATGAACATACTAACAGCGTAGAATAGAACAGTTAAGAAAAATCCATTCCAACCTAACAAGTTTTTATGTTTACAACCAAACAACGCAGGGAGCCAGGGATCACTTTTTGTTTTTTATTTACACTGTCTGTCACTGAAAATGGTTGTTATGGTAACGAATTTATGACAGGTAAAATAAAACATCTACGTTTAGTTACAAGCAAATATTTTTTGCAGATCTGTGTATAATAATACGGGGTCTTTCTTGAATAAACTATAGTAATTATATCATTTCTATTTAATTGCACCTTAGAAAAAATAAAAATTTTATCTTCAATAAATTAAAATAGAAAATATAAAAAAAAACGAAACGAAATGAGGAACTGTCATATCATTCATTCTTTCTCATTCATCAGTGCTTTAATTTCTGATTGGACATATGGAATCTAAACGCAATGTAATTGACCAATCATGGCTACACTGTATTTACAAGCACCCAATCATTACAGCAACAACAGATGTATGAATGAAACGTCATGACAGCCGCAATTCTTCATTCAATGGCATACTACTATGTGAATGAAGCATGGAATGATATTTCTTCTTTTCTCTATCTCACTCAGTCAGTCGTTTTATAACGGTGTTCTATATAGGTAGTGGTTTTTGTAAACTAAAATAAATACAGCTTGCCATAAAACTTATCGTAAATAATCGAATTCATTGGAATTATTATCTTATCATATTTATCTTAGTATGGTTTAACGATGAACAGAGACTTTTCATTTCCGATGTTTCAGTAAGATTAATGTGTCGGTATAAAAATTTGTAACATTTTGTTTGCTCACTGTGTAATACTTATTTTCGGTGAAAATGCCTTCTGGTCAACAAAGAGAAACCAACGTTTCTATACCTCTGACGCCAACCAGATCGGATTTGTATTGGAGAAGAATATTTAACAAGGTAAGTAGATTAAGAAAGCATCGTAAATATTAAATGTTACTGTACTTTCCGGTTATTAATCAATTATCTTGTTTAAAACGACGCATAAAACTTTTTCAAATAAATGAATGTGAAAACGGCTGTCAATTATGGAAATTTCTCTATATTTTAGGTAGTATTTCTATAATTTTCATTTAATTTGATCACTGTACATAAAAATCTCTAATTATATATTTAAAATGCACTTTTAAATTAAATGATTTACATTCTTTCTTAATTCACAATGCAAACCATTTTTCAATGTTTGTATGTTAGTTAAAGCTTTTTATAATAACTATATTTAATAACCTTTACATTATGTTTAATACAATGTTAAAAATTCCTAATTTTGTTAGTCTGTAAAAAGAAAAAGAGAAAAGGCAGCAAAATTAGCTTTCTACATATAACTTCCAAAGGTATGAAATTTCTTCAAAAATCTAATTCAAAGCGAGAGCTACTTTAGGGAGTCAAAAGTCCTGGCCAATTAGGACTTATTGACTCAGGCTGACAAACAAATATTACTTTTGTAATAACCAGCATATATGCTCTTGTTTCTAAATTAGTAAGTTCTTACTTAATGTTGTTTATAAAAACAGAATGTAATTGAACATCTTAGTGTGATTTAATTCATCATGAAACGTCAATAAATAAATAAAGTTTCGTGCATTATCCCGTTTAAACTAGTTTTATTTAATGAGTGATGTGCGTGAAAACCTAAGAAACAAATTAATTCATCATGTTAATAAAAGTTTATTAAGAATATTTTTCTGAATGCACAAGTTCTGGAGTGTTTTCTGTTTTAAATACATAATAATTATGTTTAATTATACTCAAAATCCTTTTGAAATTACAAATAAAATCAATGCACTGTAGTAAGAGTACACTAATAATAATTGTTTTCATAGATTTTCATATTTCATAGATTTGGGCATAATGCTAACAAAAGAATGTGAAACCTTGATTGCTGTAAAAATTTTTTTTACTATGTTGGTGTAATGGGAACAGATGGTACAGTGGTTAATGCTTTTGTCTGTTGTCATGGAACTTATGCAACTTTCATAATGCGTAGTCAGGTGGAAATGACGAAAAGTTTGTTATCTAAAGCTCTTCCAACCTTCGGAAGGCATTAAGTCATTATTCCTAGCTGCATTTGAGTCTGCATTAGTACTAATCAGCCTACACAGAAACAAAGACAGTTTTTTTTATTGGCATTAAGCAATATTGGATAATAAATAAGGTCTGGAGTAACAAAACCAAGAAACCCAACTAGGTTGCAACCTCACAGCAGAGACACCAGGTGGCCATTCGCCTAACGGGATTGCTTTGAAAAACGCTGTCGCTTACGATTTCATTTTGTTATTTCTAGCCACCTGAGGTTTTCAAATGCCTCGCGTTTTTTTTTGCATTGGTAATAACAATATTAAAGAAAATGAGCGTGAGGTATAAAACCATCGGTGGTCAGATATAACAAAATGAAATTATAAGTGACGAGTGTTTTCCAAAGCAATTCCGTTAGGCGAATGGTCCCCAGGGCCACTGCGGCACTGATATTCTGTCAGGGCCTGAGATCGACAAGATTATTAGGCAAGAACATTATATAGAACAATATCAACTACAAATACAATGAAAAAAATCTACACAGGCCCTTTGTGTTTATCTCGGGAACGCCTGGAGGTATCGATTTAACATTTAAACTCAGGTCTACAGTCCCTTGAAGCTGTGACAAAAACAAACTTCTAAGTTAATACAAAAAAAAGGTACGGCTGTTTATCAGTCTGTCTGGCAAGACCCTTTATCTCGAAAACGCGTGGAGGTGTAAAGTTGAAATTTAAACCATATTATATACTCAAGTCTGGGGTCCCTTGAAGCAGTAAAAAAATCGAACTTCTAGTAGGTACCTCCACTATACTACTCGCGTAGTTACCCTAAGTTGAGCCGCAGACTACCTAGATACTAAGTACAGAAATGAGTTATTTTCTGTACTTAGTCTCCAAGTAGTCTCTAGGACTCAACCTAGCTTAACTTCGCGAATAGTGTAGTGAAGGTGCGGTGAAAAAAAAGTTACGGGAGTGTATGTCGCGAGCGTACAAATATTCACGGAATCCTCGTTAGCCATTCCTACTCGAACATTGTCTACTAAATACAGGAGAAGGTAGCAGATAGAGTACAAGCCACCTGTTCACTGGTGTCAATGGTATGCCGCTCCGTCTGTTGTCATAACGTAAACACAAAATATTGCCCTGTTCTCATAATTATAGTTAAAGAATCGTTAAGAGATAAGTTTAAAGATAATAATCTTAAAGTTAAAGAATCGTTAAGAGATAAGTTTAAAAAATTTGGAATAATGACGGACGCATCACAATACATATACGAAAATTTATTACTTACAAGAAAAAATATTAATTTGTTACTTAAAAACAGTAAAGTTCACACACTTAATACAAGAAACAAAAATATACTAACTTTACCTGCTACTAGACTTAACAAAATTAATAATTCATTTAAAGGTCTTTGTGTTCGCTTATACAATAAAGTCCCAAGCAATATCCGAGAGTTAACCATAAACAAATTTAAAGATAGTATAAAAAAAACACTTATTAAAAAAGCTTATTACAAAGTGTCTGATTATATTACAGACAAAAATGCTTGAGTTTGAACTGTTCTAATCATTCCAACAGGTTTTCTATATTAAATAAATCATAATTGTATTGACGTTGTAACAACATAATGATTTGTAAATGTTGTTACATTAGACTTAATATTGTGGAGTTTTGATTCGCTCGTTTTTCTCCGCAGCTAAAAAACAGGTCCATTGCAAGTGGTAGGGAAAAAAAAATTTTTTGGACGATTCAAAAGAGTTGTACTATGCATCCAATATGAATAAAGATATATTGATTTCTGATAGGAAAACTATGGCACCATGCATGTTCTGTTACATTAACCCGTTTGACGGCATTCGCCGTATCTACCTAGGTTGTTATTAATATTACTTTGGTATGCAAATTCAGCTCTGCTCTGTGGTGTTTTCCAAAAAACAACCAGAATAAATAGTTTTTATTTGCATCTATCTTTGTTTACTATTTCAATGTAAATAAAAGTTAATGTTTCTTATTCTTATAGTATTCGTCGTTTTTTTGTAGTTTCTAAACAATTCATTACATTAGTTATTAACCGAATAGTGAACCACGGAAGTACCTATGATACGAATTCGCTAATAAGATAGTTTTATGATTTTTTTTTTTTTAAAGAGAAGTTTACTAGAAAAAATCCACGCGGACCAGGCAGCGGACGGACTCGAACCCGCATCCTTCGCTATCCGGGCGAATGCACTGACCATTATGCTACCACGGCCCTATTAGCCGCGTCGAAATTTTCCTAGCCTTAAGCTGCAAGGCAGCGCCATCTCTTCGCATTGTAGGTAACCCACAATGTCAAATGAATACTTTTTCAAGTATTAAACATTTGAAAGAAGAAATAGCAATTATAGTTATGATTTTATTTATTTTTTTAAGCATTTAACTGCTAGATGTTTAAATCTAAAGAAAAGTTTACTAGAAAAAATCCACGCGGACCAGGCAGCGGACGGGACTCGAACCCGCATCCTTCGCTATCCGGGCGAATGCACTGACCATTATGCTACCACGGCCCTATTAGCCGCGTCGAAATTTTCCTAGCCTTAAGCTGCAAGGCAGCGCCATCTCTTCGCATTGTAGGTGTATGTCAAATGAATACTTTTTCAAGTATTAAACATTTGAAAGAAGAAATAGCAATTATAGTTATGATTTTATTTTTTTGTAGCATAATGGTCAGTGCATTCGCCCGGATAGCGAAGGATGCGGGTTCGAGTCCCGTCCGCTGCCTGGTCCGCGTGGATTTTTTTCTAGTAAACTTTTCTTTAGATTTAAGATAGTTTTACTTTGTCATTAATTATATTTTTTCAGTGTCCGCTATGTATACTCTTAAAATTTGATAATCGATGTATCGTGAACTTCATCGTGTCGTGTCTTATACTCTACGATATGAAAAACTATGTAAATCAGAGCCAGACGAGTAGATGACGATAATGGAAATCGAGTTTGGATGAAGAGTACAGGCTCTGTTCCCCTATTATGGGTCGTATCTCCTCACTCTCCTGCATCAGGGTAGTCTACCCAAAATTCAATACAGTTTAGGCTAGGCATCAAGTTCTATGAATTTCAAAGAACTACGCCATCCAGCGGTTAAGTTTTTAAAGGTTTTCTCTATCTTGGAACACTAGGTTAGTGGCGAGCGTCCTCTCCTCTGCTTTTATTACGCTCTGGCAGCTTCAATGCAATCTTAGGCTTGGGCTTCTTTTCCTCAACTTCGTCAAAGATTCTATGAAAACTAAGCAGCGCCCCTACCGGACGTAAGAGCAAACTGGCTACTTCCATACAAAATTTGAGGATAACGATACGATTACGGAGCTGTCAAAGTTCGTGCTTGGGTCTACTAATGTCTTCACTCGGTATCCATAGGTTTAATATACCTTCACCTTTAGGTTCCATCGGCTGCCTCTTTATCTAATTAAAGACTACTTGGATGGAAGGACGGACCGGACGTAAACCTAGGCATCAGAGAAATGAAGTGTGGTGTTCCACAGGGGTCGGTCCTAGGAGCACTCCTGTGTAATTTAGGATAAGACTACGTCCTGCGCGGCGAGCGGGGAATCCTTAGACTAGCGCCTCTACGGATGCTTCGGATGCGCACAAATCATTTATTCAGTTTAGGCTGCTGCAAGCACATATGAATGTCTAGAAGCTACGCCATCGGTTCGTAAATCTACGGCGGGAGACCTTGTACTGAGAAGAACCGGCAAGAAACTCAGCAAGGGCTATTTTTTTCTCCCTATTTTATCATTTACAGAGTCGTCGAGTTGAAAAATGACTTCAGATTTGATTCATGAAGTCACCTTTCATTACATAATGTGAAACATATACATATATACATTAATTGTTCACCTG